TGAGAGAGAGCGTCACCTCCTTCCTCTGTCTTTTGTTCTCTCCGGACCCCCAGTGGATTGGATGGTTCCCACCCACACTGAGGGTGGGCCTTTCACACCCAGGCCATTCAGACTCTCATACTAATCTCTGCTGGAAACACCCTCACGGACACACCTGAAAAGATTGCTTTACCAGGTTTCTCAGCATTACTTCATCTAACCAAGTTGACATCTAGAATTAACCTTCACATGTCCACCCCTTGTCAACTTGGTGTCCATACTATCTCCTTAAGTCACACTTAATTTTCTTTTCTTTTTTTTTTTTTTGTCTTTTGTCTTTTTCCATGTCCGGCAACGGATTGCAACCCTCAGTGTTGCCCCCGTACCGGACCGGGGACCGGCAACGGGATTGCAACCCTCGGTGTTGCCCCCGCGCCTCGCTCAGCCAGTGAGCGGGAACCGGTCTGTATGTGGGATCCGAACCCTCGGGCGGGAGCGCCGCCGCGCTTCCCAAGCGGCGCACTTATCCAGTGCGCCACCGGGCCGGCCCAAGTCACACTTAATTTTCAAATGGTACAATAACATAATAGTTTTGCCTAACATGATACACTACCCTGCGTACAACTGGAAACGCATTAATCCCTTTCCAAGAAGAAAAAGGTAAAGTCCTTAAATGATATTTACCCTTCTCCCAATATCCCATAACTTAAAATTGCAAATACTATGAAGTGAGGTTAACAACATTTAAATGCTGGTAAAAAGTCACTAAGTCTCATGGTACATGATAGAGAACAGAGGAACAAAAAACAAAGGATTGCTTAATATGTGTACAGTATATTTATACATAGAGACATATTCTTAACACAACAGGGAGAACAATTACGATCCTCGTTTCTGTAACTGGTCACGTGCTCAAAGCTGGTATTTATACCTTCTTCTACTACCCACTCTGTATTTCCTTTGCCTTCGGTGAGCACCTCAGCGGGTCGTGGTTCTTTACCTGGTGGAGTGACCCAAACCTTCATCCCTGAAGAGTCTGGGCCATTTGTAGTCTTGCCTGGATTTGGGTAATTTTCCATTGACCTTAATCACAGGGCATGGTAGTACTAAGAGACGTCCTAAGGGATCTCCTGTATTCCAGACATAATCTTCCTTGCCTCCATTGTGAAGTAGTAGTCCAACTTCCCATTGGTGGTCTGGGTCAGTCACCCCACCCAACACCGTATCTCCTTTCACAGCCTATTGATTCAGAGCCATGAGGAGCTCAAAGTGGCCAGGAGGCAGCCTTAACTTCCAGTTCAGTGGGATCATTTTTGTGTCTCCTGATGGAAGCACTCCTCCCTCTGGAACTAAGACCTCTAGACCAGCAGAGCATAAAGTTGCGGGGACAGGAAGCAAAAATTTTGCTATGGGTCCCTAGGAGTAATGGTTAGTGGAGCCACTTCCGTTTCCACCCCTTGATTCCTGGACCCGTGAATCCTGGCTATGGGAGAGACAGTACCATATATTGGGCGCTGATGTGGGGCATATACAGCCTGCTGGAGGACTTTGCTCCAGCCCTGCAGGGTATTGGCACCAAGCTGGTGCTGTAACTGTGACTTCAAAAGGCCATTCCACCGTTCTATCAGACCGGCTGCTTCAGGATGATGGGGAACATGGTAAGACCAGTGAATTCCATGAGCATGAGCCCATTGCCACACTTCTTTAGCTGTGAGGTGAGTTCCTTAGTCAGAAGCAGTGCTGTGTGGAATGCCATATTCACTGCCACCCTGCATTCCACTAGTTTAGAAAAATGAGAGTTGGCTATGAAGACATGTCAAATAGCATCAACTCTGTAGAAGTCATTTGAGTAAACAGTTACAGGAACAGAAGTTGGATGTAGTCTCAGTAGATCTGTTTCCTTGTGTTTCCTTGTGACCTCAGTTTGAAGTAGATCTATACCAAAACGAAGCAGCCTGTCAGAGTCCTTTGGATTATCAATACCATCAAGAGATCTTGAAGCTGGAGAATTCAGGTGGCAAGAAGAACCGTCGAATCTTTACCTACACTGACTCTGATAGATACACCAATTTGGAGGAGGTATTGTTCTTTCTAAAGTCCCATAGCTTCCTTCTTCTTTGCCTCTCCTAGTTTTCTGGCCTCACCGGGTTCTGTGTGTTAAATCAGAAGCCTGTTAAGAGGAGATAGGCAGCTTGTCTAGAAACTGCTTTGGGCTGCTGGCAGCCATGCTAGAGTAGTCTGCAGTGTATGGGTCTGTTGCTGTCTCTTCTGCCTGCTGGAGGTCCCAGGGGAGCTGGCAGTGTCTCTGATGACAGGCTTGCAGAGTGCGAACTGGGAGAAGCAGCCACCGGGCTTGACTTCCTCCATGCAGCATGTGGTAAGACAGGTGGGCAGAGTACTTAATCAGGGGATTCAGCCAAGACTCAGTACGTGGGTTTGAAGAGGGATTCAGTACCGCCCTGAAGAATGGCTTACGTCCTCAATTTGCCTGTGCCAGCATACCCTTGTGGACTTGTTTTACATTTTCTTCATTCACTGCATATGTTCGGTCTTCTCAGTGAGCTTTTAAACTCCTTGAGGTTGGGGCCTATATTTTCTTATTTTTATGTGTGACCCTATAGATCTCTGCAAGGAACCGGTGTTAAATAAGTGTTTTTGAAAGATTGGCATGCTCTTGTTAGAAGAGCTGTGGGTTGGTAGCATCTAAAATTTGGATTGTCTGTTTGGGGAAAGCAAGTAAAAATGCAGTTAGTGCTCAGTTGCCATGTGTGAATTTTCCACAAAATACTTGTATCCCATTTGGCATTTTCCAACATCTAATTAACTTCAACTTCTACCAGGCAAACTAACCCAACTTTGAGTTGGCATGTGCTCAGACAATGCAGACTGACTTTATTTTTTATTTTATTTTATTTTTATTTTAAAAGATGACCAGTAAGGGGATCTTAACCCTTGACTTGGTGTTGTCAGCACCACGCTTTCCCAAGTGAGCCAACCAGCCATCCCTACATAGGGATCCGAACCCGTGGCCTTGTTATCAGCACCGCACTCTCCCAAGTGAGCCACGGGCCGGCACCTCAGACTGACTTTAAAATTAGCGCAAAGATCTGATTTCTAAAATCCCAGGGCAAACCAAGTTGCAGTAGGAATCTTCTTTGGGTTGTTTGTGCCACCGCTTTCCTCCATTAGCATGCATGATTGTGAGGTGGCTGTACCTGTTAGGTTCACGTCCCGGATGAGGTTTCAGAAGGAAGACTTTCCTCAGGAACTTGGCCCCATGTGGCCCTGACCAGATGGCTTACATAGGGCTGCTCTCTTTTCCCAGCACTGTCAGAAAATGACCACCTCAGCCAGCGAGGTGCCATCATTCTTGGTTGAGCGAATGGCAAATGTCAGGCGGCGACGGCAGGACAGGCGAGGGACGTGAGTGCAAGTGTGTCTGGGCAGTGCAGGGCTGGGGGCGCCTCTGCAGTCCTAACACGCCGGGGTTCTTGGCATGTCCGCCCACTCGAGCTTCCCATCGTGCAGGGGACCTCCACTTGGGTGGGCTCCCGTTTCCCCTTCAGGCTCTTCAGGGTGTGCCAGGGAAGTGACCCTTCCTGTGCTGTCTCCCAGGGAGGGCGGCATCCTCAAATCGCGCATTGTCACCTGGGAACCCTCAGAAGAATTCATCAGGAACAACCATGTCATTAACACCCCTCTTCAGACAATGTACATCATGGCAGATCTGGGGCCCTATGGAAAGTGAGTGGAGCTCCATACTGCCAGCTCAGATCTCCTTCCTCTGCTCGCGCTAGCCATCACCTAGTAGATGGGGGGGAGGGACTCTGTCTTCCTTTTCTTCTTAGTTGTCATTGGAAGACAGTGTTTTACCGTGATAGTTCTCACTCCTGCCTCTGTGCTCTCCCCTGAAGTGGGCTGACTACCTCTTCCTCTTTTCCTGGAGGCGGGACCAGTGATCCTGAACCTTGGTGCTGGTGTTTCCTGCTTTCTAGGCTTGGCTATAAGAAGTACGAGTATGTCCTCTGTACTCTGAAGGTGGACAGCAATGGTGTGATCACAGTGAAACCTGACTTCACTGGCCTCAAAGGGCCCTACCGGTGAGGAGAGGAGTGGAGTAGTGAAGACTGGCATTCCTTCTCGTGGCTTCCCTGCTTGCCTCAGCCGAGGAGATTCCCAGAAAGCCCTCTGTCTGGTCTAACTTTTAAACTCCCAGGCAGTGGTGGTTCATATTCTATTCTGGGTCATAGGCCCTTGGGAAATCGGGGACCGTGTTCTCAGAAAATGTGCAACTGCACCAGTTTAAAAGGGATCGCTTCAGCATTGTGGTTAAGTGGAGATGATTCGCTGTTGAGCATAGGGACTGACCGGAACAGTGGCAGGTGAACTCAGCCCGGTCTTTTCCTCTGGGCCGACTGTTCCTCATCTCTACTAGGGTACTTCAAAAAGTTCATGGAAAGATAGAATTAAAAGATACTACAAATCTTTCCAAGAACTTTTCAAAGTATGCTTATATATCTTAGATAACAGAACAGCAACAAAAAAAACCAAACTATAAATTAGAAATTATCTAGACTAACCCGTCCATTTGTCAGGTGAGAGAACTGGGTGCAACGGTGTTGTGCCTTGGGGTCTCACCATGTCTTTGAGACAGAAATGGGCTCAAAACCTGTGCTCTCTGAAACTAACGTGGAGCCCTTTCTGCATTACCATTTTGTTTCCCTCTCCTGGCCATCATTATGGCCATTTCGTCATCATATACTTCAAGTGAGGTGTACGGCCAGTGATAGCTCATCCCTGGGCTAGATCTGAAGGGCCTGTCTCTTATTAGCAGAGTTGGTCCTTTTGTGGCTTTGACCTTACAGAATCGAGACAGAGGGGGAGAAGCAGGAGCTGTGGAAGTATACGATCGACAACGTGTCTTCCCTCGCACAGCCGGAGGAGGAGGAGCGGGAGCAGCGTGTGTTCAAGGATGTAAGAGCTCGTTCATCCAGTGCTTGGAGCTGAGACCCTGTCTGAGGTTGATGTCAGCAGTTGCTAGGGAAAAGCCTTGCCCTTCACAGCCTTCTTGAGACCTAGGAAGCACTGATGACATATCACCCAGAAGTTTTTGATCATATTTTAACATAATAATAACCATGACCATTTATTTGAGCATTTACCATGCTCTGTGCTAGACACTTCACCCACCTTATTTCATTTAGATCTACAACAATGCTTTGAGGTGAATACTTTTACTATTACCACTTTATGAATGAGGAAACTGAGATTAAGGAGCTAAGTACTCCCTGGAGCTTGTACGTGCTAGAGTCAGGATTGGTCCCAGACCAGCTGACTCCCTGTGTTTCACTTTAAAATGTCAGTGGCTGGAATGCTTAGGCCTCCAGCTCTTGGTGGCCTTTTCGTTATTGCCTCTTTTCTTTCTCCCATTCAGAACTGAACTCTGGTCTGGCTTGGGTTGCTTCTTGAGTTTTGATTTGGTTTGTTTCCTCAGCTTTATGGCCGGCACAAGGAGTATCTCAGCAGCCTCGTGGGCACTGACTTTGAGACGGTGAGTAGCTTGGCTTCCTGCTGCACTGTGACCTGTGTTTAGCCAGAACATTCCGAGTGTGGATGAGTTACTATACCTCTCTTGAAGGTCTCCAGGATATACTCTTCAGTGTAAAAAGGAAGTCAAAGAATAGCACGTAGAGTCTAGCCCTGTGATGTGATTTGAAACATTGCTAATTGATACAGAAGTATTAATGCGGGGAAAAATGTCTGAGAGAGTACACACACGTGCCGTGGGTGGCTTTCTCTGGGGAGGGGGTGGGATAGGGAGGTGTTAGTGGATAGTGGGTAGTAAGAGGAATATGTCAGGGATTTAAAATTTTTATTCCTTAAACTTAGAGTAGTTTTGAATTTTTGCAAGTGATAATGGACTCATGTATTGCTTTATAATTAACTTTATAAATAAATATAAAGAAATGTCTTCCTCACCCTTCCCGTGGGTATTTTTCCAAAGTTCCCCATAGAGAGGGAAGGATGTCATTCCCATTTGTCAAATATTTTGGTTCTTAAAAAAAAAACAAAAAACTGTAGGTCATTTATTCTGTTGTCCTATTCTTTGTCTTCCCTCACTGCAATAGTGCCATCCCTAGATCTCGAAGCAAGGATAGAATTACCTACAGGTCTCCTCATCTCTCTAAACAATTAACTTTTTAGATCTGAGGAGAAGTGTCAGGGTGGCAAGAAAGTGCAATAGTGATGCCCAGGGTTTGACATCCAGCATCAGGTCTTCTGCAGATTTATGGATAGGGCTGGATTCCTTCCAGACCTCCTGATCTTTTTCCACTTCTCTCCATCTTAGACCGTCCCAGGTGCCCTCCGGCTCTTTGTAAATGGAGAGGTAGGTAAGTGTCTTGACAGAGATCTCCTGATGCTTGGGCAGGTGCCCAGATGAAGCTGTGAATAATCTACCCCACCCTGGTGGAGGCCTTAAGCTGTCTGCAGTACGTGGAAAACTCAGTGATGAGTCTTTGCTGGAAACACTGAGGGTTCCTGTTCCCCAAAAGACTTGCTGCCAGAGCATGTAGGCCCCTTAAGACTGGGTTGGGTGCTAAAGGTGGTAGGAGAATAAGCTAAAATAGTTTCCTGTTTTCTTTCTTAGTTTCAGCCCAAGGCTATGAGTATGACAATCTCTACGTCCACTTCTTTGTGGAATTGCCAACCACTAGTAAGTAATGTTCCTACGACTCTGCTTCTATACGCATTCCGACCGTTCTGGGCATTTGGTCAGGCTTCCTTCTCCACTCCTCGACTGAGACTGTTCCTGTTCTTTTCAAGGTCGTAGATCGCTTCCACATTGTCACATCTAAGGGTAACTCTCTTTCTCTTTGTTTGACTTCTCTGAAGCATTTGACACAGCTCACTTTTCTTCATGAAACCCTTCTCTTGGCTTCTGGCTCCACACGCCTCGCTTCCATATTGTTGGTGGCTCATCTGCCTCTTTGGCTGATTCCTCCCCTTCTGTTGATGTTAAACTGTTGGAGCAGCCAAAGCTGAGGCTAGCCTTCTGTTACTCTCTACCTACAGTCGTCTTAGGCGATCCCATTCGTCCCATGGCTTGAATACCATGTCTATGTCTCAGACTCCCAGATTTCTGTCTCCAGCCTTAACCTCTCCCCTGAATTCCAGACTCAGATCCAGTCACCTCTTTGTCACTTCTGTTCAACATTACCAGAAAGAACTCTTGATTCCTCCTCTTCCCTCACCTCTCTCCTCCCTGGTCTTCCCCACCCCAGCAGAGTGGCAGTGTCATCCACTTACTTGCTGATGCCAAAAACCTAGGAGACATCCTGGATTCCTCACCTTCTCTAGCTCCCTATAGCCATCGACTGATGGCTCTAGCTCTGTCTTCACAAGCTGTCCTGAATCCGTTTATTCTCTCTCGTGCCCCCCCCCCCACCATCTCTTGCCTAGGCCAGTGCCCGAAGTTTCTAACTTATCCTCTTGCTTCCTCTCTTGCTCCCCCTTGCAGTTCACTTTCCACATACACCATAGCCAAGTCGAGCATTTAAAAATGTGAAGCAGTTGTGTCTCTTTTGGGCTGAAAACCCCAACAGCTTCCTCTCCCACTTAGAGTAAAATCCAAACTCTGTACCCTGAATGACCTGGCCTCGCCTACCTGCCCCTTACAACATTACAGTCATTCTTTCTGTTCTTGAACATGCCACATTCATTCCCACCTCAGAGCCTTTTCAGGACCTTTTACTTTGTCTGAAACCCCTTCTGCCATATCTTGGGGTGGCTGGTTCTTCTTGAGTTTAGGTCTCAGCCTATGTTACTTCTGAGAGGCTTCTCTCACCACCCAATCTTAATGAGCCTCTAAGTCACTCAGTCCCTTCACTCTTTTTTATGGCTCTTATCACCACCTGATAGTCCCTTGTTGGTTTGTTTGTTGTCTTTTGCCCACCCATCCCCTCCCAGTACAAAGTTAGTTCTCTGAGAGATGGGGATCTTTTCTATGTGGTCACCAAAATATCCCCAGGATATACTAACACATAGCAGATGCTCAGTAAATGAATGATTGTTACACTTCCCCCTGTGTAACAGAGATGTAAAAAAGAATTACTCGATTACTCAAAGCAGTATGAATGCATTGAGAGGCCTGGAAGGGTTGCACTTCAGTAATTTCCCCATCAGTAGGAGAAAGCTGAATGTGACAGCCCCAATTCAAAGTTAGCTTCTCCCTTTTATTGTAAAGACAAGGAAGTCTCACAAGAAAATTCAGTTGATTTAATCATTACAAAGAACACAAGGACATGGGCAGAGTTATGGCTAAGTATAGTTTTAACAATGGAAACTAGTAACATCAGTGAAATAAACAAAGTGACATTCCATAATGCAATTTGCAAAAGGTTAAGTCAATCCACCAACAAAAGCTTGTTCCTAGCAAAGACTTTCTTTTCCTACAGCAATTTCCTCAGTATGTTTACATAACAATCAAGTAACTTTCTCAACATATCAATCAGTAGGTCAACCTGCACCGAGGACATCTGCCCTTTGAGCCAGCAATTTTGCTGTGTTACAATTCTTTATCTACAACAGAGACTTTAGCCTGGGGAAAGTTTCCTGTTTTTTGCAAGCTTAACATTCCTATGTGTAATTTTAAAAAGTTAGGCTATACCTGAAACTACAGGGCTTTGGAGGCTAGGCCCTGTGAAATACATTTGCTTTATAAATGTTACTCCACAAATGATTGATTGCATGAATGAATGAATGAATAAATGAATAAAGGAATTTTGTCTTTTTCTCAACTACTTGGTCTCCTCCCAGGTGAGCTTACTATATCTGGTCTTTGGCTTTCAGACTGGTCAAGCCCAGCATTCCAGCAGCTCTCAGGAATAACACAGACCTGTGCCACCAAGTCCCTGGGAATGGTATGGAGGATGAGAGAGGGAATCTGGAAGGGAACAGGAATTGTCTCCTGGGGTGGCATTTGAAGCTTTATCAGGCCACCATCCATGTACTCTGGGGAGGATCCCAGAGTTGGATCTGACTCTTCCTTGTGGGCTCTGCAGGGCTGCCTAGTCGAGGGTCTTCTCTTTGCCTTTTGGAGAATGGAAGCAGCTTGTATTTGGGTATCCCTTTGCCTCTTATTTCCCACCAGAGGTGATAATTTTTTTTTTTTCCTAGTGAAGGAGACCTTGTCATTGGCCACAGGGAGAACAAATTTCAAGTGAGGCCCTGCCTACCCAATGATACTGAGTATAAAGTGACACTCCCCTTTTTTAGGACAAGGTGGCCTACTTCTCCTACCCATTCACATTCGAAGCCTTCTTCCTCCACGAGGATGAATCTGCTGGTGAGTGGCTCTGCAGCGGATCCTGGGCCTTGGTTCTTCTCAGCCTGCACCCTCTCCTGGTGAAGGCCTCCTGTGACCTGGCTGCTGCTTCTCTCACTTGCTCCCAGATGCTCTCCCAGAGTGGCCTGTGCTCTACTGTGAGGTCCTCTCGCTGGACTTCTGGCAGAGGTATCGTGTGGAAGGCTATGGGTCTGTGGTGCTGCCTGCCACCCCAGGTAATCTCTTGTCCCCACCCTTCATGTGCCCCACATGCCCTAAGTCCTAGGAACAAGACCAACAGTTGCAAAAGATTTGAATGCTCCTGGAGAGAAGTAGGGATAATTGGGAATTAGAAGCATTTAACTTGGAAGATTCCTTGCTCCTTTGAAGAATTTCTTCTCCCCTCCTTGGAGATAACCACGTGAAATTGGAACCACATGAAATTGGAAGCTAAGCAGCCTGACAGTCTCTGTTTTGTGCTCCTTGCTCCTGTGATTGGACTTACGGCCTTGAGGGAGAGTCTGCATGACGAAACAGGCTTTGGGCACATGTGTTGAATGAATCAGCATTAATTTGGAAATTAAAGTAACTATCTTTTCTTGTGTGCCAGGCATTATGCTAAATGCCTCTCATTTAATTCTCCCAACCAGTCTGTGAGTTGTCGGTGTTGTTGTTACTTCCATTTTACTAGATGAGGAGAAAGAGTCTCGGCGAGGTTAGGAAACTTGTCCTGGGTATACAGGGAGTGACTGGCAGAGCTGAGATTTGAGTTTCTGTCTGATTGATTTCCAAACAGGTGCTCTTAACCACCATGATAACCTTCACCAAAGGTCAGGTCATCACAGACCAGGTGTTTCAGAGGTGTCTAGGCCTGGGTCATTGCTGGGGTGTCAGTGAGGGGCCGTGTTCCCTTTCTGGACCTGGCCCCATCCTCGTCTCTCGCACAGGCTTGCACACCCTGACTGTCTCCACGTGGAGACCCATGGAGCTTGGTACGGTGGCTGAGCTGAGGAGGTTTTTCATTGGTGGTTCTCTGGAACTGGAGGACCTCTCCTATGTGCGGATACCAGGAACCTTCAAGGTGACTTTTGTCCCTGGAGAGACTTCATACTGGGAACTTAGGGCCCTGTCTTTCCATTCTGTAGAAAGTGGGATCTGGGTGAAGGCCCCTTAGTTATTCATCGCTTCAGTGTTACTTAGCCCCTTTCTTCCTGTTGCTTAAGCTGGAAGTCACAGCCCCAGTTTGAACCAAGCATAAATATCTACACTGCTGTCCTAGAAGATCTCTGGAAATCTCTTCTTTAGACTTTTCCCCTGGTCCCTGTTGGAATAGCTGACCCCTTCTTTTTCCCCATCACGGAGAGCCTCTGTAATCAGTTGTGGGGAGGATTCACAGTAAGCATGTGAGACTGCTATTCTCAAATGAGGTTGGAATGTTTCTGATTTACAGTTGGGAGCCCAGTGTTAGCCTTGAGGTGATGGGGCTGGGTGATAGAATGAGGTTTCCCCATCAGAACTGCTTTCCCCAAAAGTGGGAATGGGAATGGGGGTGAGGTGAGCATGGTGCCTAGGCTCTAGAGGCTGCAGAAACCGGACACTGTCTCAACTGTATGCCACAGGGGGAGCGTCTGAGCCGCTTTGGACTCCGCACAGAGACCACAGGCAGTGTCACCTTCCGCTTGCACTGTCTGCAGCAATCCAGGTGAGAGACTCTGACCCTTTGCCTTGGGGCTGCTTATTCCTGAGGGCCAGAGAACAGCTATGACCATGTGGTGGGCTTCCCTGCAGAGCCTTCATGGAATCAAGCTCCCTCCGGAAAAAGATGCGGAGTGTGTTGGACCGTCTGGAAGGATTCAGCCAGCAGAGTTCCATTCACAATGTGCTGGGTAGGTTTCCTCCTTCCCTGGCTGGCCCCCCAGGGTCAGCATGGGCCATGTTCCTCTGCCCACCATGGAAGCTGACTGATGTGTCTCCTTCCCTTGCAGAGGCCTTCCGTCGAGCTCGGCGCCGCATGCAAGAGGCCCGAGAAAGCCTCCCCCAGGACCTAGTGAGCCCCTCGGGAACCTTGGTCTCCTAGCTCACTGCAGCCCTGGCCACGGTGCAAGAGGTCAAGACAAGGGGTGTCTGAGGCCATTGCTCTCCTGCCTTTTTGTCTGTTACTAGACACCACATTGGCCTGCTGAGAACCAGAAGAGTTGAGAAAATCCCTGGGCCGGTCCCTCTGTTTACCCTTCAGCAGGGTCTTCTCCCTGCACATGGAAATAAAGCCAGAGACCTGGTGGTCCTGTATGGGCCCCTCTTCATATTTCAGCTACTGTAAATAGGCATCACAACAAGGCAGGCTTTTTGGTCTGAAACTAGTTTGGGGTGACCCCATAATTAGCCTGTCCTTGACACAGCCTCTTTTCTGGCTTGTCTCACAGTCTCAGTAGCAGAGGGCTGCAGAGATCTCCTTTTCCACAGCCTTTAACAATGGAATCTCCTTCTTCCAAGAAAGGAGAAGGAAGGTGAGAGAGATCTTAAATCCCTGGCCCATAAGTCTCAGCCTTCTCTTTCCAGGGCAGCCGTGTTCTACTACTTGGGGCTTGCTGAGTTTGAGATATGACTTATTTCTGGAAGAAATGAAGGGGGAAGGCAGGGCCCTTTATGCTAGTTGGGTGGTGTCTTTTATTGTGTTTTTTGTACATAAAAAATTTTTATATTGACCGATGTCTATTGACTCTCTGCTCAGGTCGCTGGCATGATGGAAGTATGGTTAATGCTGGGGCCCCTAATGCCTCTGCCCATCCGCTTTTATGCTTTTTTTGGCTCTCTGAATTCAGCCCCTAGACGAGGTTTAGAGGTTAGTGCCAGCTTGCTTCTTAGCGGCACCCGTCTTAAACACCTGGAGCAAAGCATGGGACTGAAGCCACGCCCTTCCAGCCCAACATAGAAACGGCAGCCCCTGCCCTCAGCAGTGCTTTATTGGTAGAAGCAGAGTATGCTGCCAGCCTGCAGGCTCGGAGGAGGACTATGGGGTGGCCAGAGGCTGGGGCTATGTGGTCTCCCAGTCCTGGTGGGAGGAGGCGAAGCAGAAGACAGTGGCTAGAGACCCTCCAGCTGACTCTTCTTGCCGGGGCCTCAGGGCCTCATGGCTTGGCTCACAAGTCCTTGTACCTAGTGCTGATTCATAACCTAGTCCATGCGTATGGGTCCACTGCTGCTAGGAGCTCCAGCTATCACTCCCAGCTGATGAAGACAACTCTGAGCTGTAGACAGCAAAAGCATCAGCAGGATACAGTTGCTCCCAGAGGAGAAGGCAGCCTCGAAGTCTTCCCCTTGCCTCCAAGGGTTAGAGGCTTGGGATAGACTCCTGTGGAAACAACAGAACTGGGTAAGTGAGGAATCTGCTGGACATCAGAAATGGGGCTTTTTTTAGGGTGTTAGTGGCCAAGCTGAGGATAGTTGGACACTTCCCAATTGTCCCCTTAAGTCTTAGGCCCTGGGATTGACAATAATCCCAGAAGCTAGCACACTGGGAAGCCATTAGAGAAGAGTACCCAGTCCCTAGTGACAAGTTTGGTTGTTTCTGCTTAGAGGCCTAAGAGGACTCAGCCATACCCTCCAGGGAAGGACGTGAGGGCCTGACCCAGCCCCGAGGGCCTCCCCTTACCTGCAAGAGTCTCACTTTTCTCGCCAGGCCGACAGGTTCAACCTGGGGATACAGCTGCAGCTCACAAAACCCCGGGGGTAGATGCTGGCTCTGAAGATGTCCTTCGAAACAGTGCTGATACCAGTATTGTCACACACAATTCGAGATAAGGAGATCTGGCTCAGGGCCGTGCGCTGTCTTCTGGTGAAAACACCCCATTTCTGCCACCAGAACCTACCAGGCAGTCAAGAGATTTGGGTAAAGGTTGGAGAGGAATTACCTTATAATGAGCACCTGTCATGTGCCAGGTACTTTACGTATGTTATTTCATTCAATTCTCACAAAATTCCTGCAAGGTAGGTATTATTCCCATTTTATAAATGAAGAAATGGGTTTAGTGATTAAACAATTGCCCAGTAGTAAGTGCACAGTAAGTTAAGTGGCCAGGGCTGGATTTGAACTCAGGCAAATGCCAAATCCAAATAAGGAGTCAGGCCTTAAACCATAAGCTTATGGGAAGGAAACCAGATTTAGCCTTTACTGCCCATGTTTTCTGGGATCCACTAGCTCAGAACAGTAAGTATGACAAGTTTATCTGCTGGGTTTAAGGTGACTCCAGCTAAGGCAATGTCAGCCCTGCCTGGGTCAGTGTCTCTCCCCCTGACCCAGCTTTCCAGGGAGGAGCCTCCTGGTCTCAGATCCTATGAACTTGGAAGAAACAAAGCTTTTAAAAAGAGCACTATTTCCCACTGTTTAGTCTGGAAGTGCTAGTGTTTTCCTGCTCTGCCTCTGGTGCTGATGTGTTAGGATAGGGTCACTTACCTGTCTCCATCTCGGGCTCTTCTGAACTGGTTCTCTAAAAGGCAAGCCAGAAGAGGTCCAACTCGGGCCCCCGGCAAAAGGGGCTCTGCGATGGCCCCAATCCAGATATCAATGTTGTCTGGTGTCCCATACAGATTCAGGAACTTCTGTGCCAAATCTCGGTTTCTTAGTACCCGGCTAAGCTGTGCCAGATTCTGGGGCTGGGAGAGCCCGCAGAAGCGCCTCCAAGCATTATAGCCTGCGGGGGAAGGGGGGAGAAGCAGCTTCTGTCTTGCTGACTGCCCATCAGCTTCTGCTTCTTCCCACAAATCCTCCAAGAGGAGAAGCTCTGTGGTCAGTCGATACTGGGCAGAACAAGACCTCTGCTGCAGAAGAGGCTCCAAACCTTCCAAAGGCCAGACTGATCTGATGCATCGGACTGAGGAGTGTGGCCTAAGCTGAAAAGCTGTTGTAACCCAAAACTCATAACCACATGTCTGACATTTAATGATAGTATTATTGGTCTCATATGCATTAATTAGGCACAAATAACACAGTACCCCCAAATAAAAGACTCTCCGTCAGGTTCGTAGAATGAGTGGATGAGCAGGTGAATAAATGAGTGAACAAACCAACCAAGGAAGAACAAGGATGAAATTTATCTACTCATGAAGAGCATGGATAAAATTCATCTAGCACACACTGTATAATTCCATTTATAAGAGAGATCCAGAATAAGCAGAAATATAGAATACAAGAAAAAAAACAGAAAGGGTATTAGTGGTTATCAGGGGCTGGGTGGGAATAGGGAGTGACCTTTATTACAAGATTTCTTTTGGGGGTGATGGAAATGTTCTGATAATTAGATCATAGTGATGGTCGCACAACTCTAAGCATAATAAAATCATTGAATTGTATACTTCATACGGGTGAATTTTGTGGTATGTTAATTGTATTTCAATAAAGCCATTTTTAAAAAGTTATCATCTACTCAGAAACTTCCAGAGACCAGCCATACTGATTTCTCAGCTATCAGGATCCTATGCCAGGGCCAAGCCACGTAATATGGTGTAGACAGTCAAGGTAGGAGACAGCTTTGCTGTAACCTGAACACCATAACACCAGCCCAACATCTTCCATTGAACTACAACTCACAAACACCAACTCCAGCTGAACAAAGGAAACCATACAATGTTTTAGCATTACTAAGCACCATTGTGTGGACACCCATCCCTCAGGACCCTCGCAACACCTTTGTGAGGTACTTTTATGGTATGTTAATTATATCTGGTATATTTGCTGAAGTTGAGCAATCATGACTTTTCCAAGGTCTCTTCACTATTAAGTGGAGTGCAAATTCCAAATTTGGTGTTGGATTTGGGAAGGGATTAGAGGAGACTGCAAGAGCTAGGATCAGGATATTTCTGGGCTGGCTGAGAGAACAGGTATTGGGGGGAATAGAAACTCACTGTGTGGCAACTTGGGTGCTAGCCACCTCAGTTATCCAGCAGGGGGCGCCCACTTCTCCTTAGCTGTCAGGGGCACCCAAGTATAAGGAAGGAGAAATTCTTGAGTGCCTGCTGTGTGCCTGCCAGGTGCTGTGTTAAATGGAGTAGGGAGTAGGAAGTCCCCATACTCTTTATCTTGGCCAAAGACCAGCCAAGGCAGATGGGACTTCAGGTCCTATCTAGACAGGGAGGTAGGAGGTAGGGAGGAGGGCAGGGTGAGGCAGGAGGCAAGCCTTCCCCTAATGGTGTTGCACAGGATTGAACAGGGGAAAGAAAGAAGAAATTAGAAATTTAAATTCAGATTTCATTACTTCAGACTTATGTGACCTGGGGTAAGTTACTAGCTGTCTCTGAGTGTATTTCCTAAATATGAAATTGCTGTAATAGCTGCTTCTCAAGGTCATTGGTAGGATGGAATGAATTAATATACATGAAAGTGCCTAGCAAAGTGCCAACGTTTCTTCTTTCCTGGGATAAAGTCTTTTGTGCCTTCACCAAACAACCAATGAGCCTTAATTTTACTCCACCTGTTCCCTGCCTCTAAGGCTCTTTGCCTTTCTCCACTTAGAGTAAGAAGCCGGTTTCTGCAGCCCTGGAATTTTAGCCTTTCTCCTTGGAACTTGCCAGCGTGTGGGCAATGGAGCAGTTCTCCCCTGCCTTTTCAACCTACCACTTTTCTCCACTTCGAAAGTCCTGATCTCCTTTTTTGAGCTCCTGTGCCCCACCCCAGTCCTGTGGTGAGCCTACAGTTGGAGCCCCTACAGCGGATGGGAAGACTGGGCAGGACGGCGGAGCAGTGTGCCAGGGTGCTCCGCTGCCTCAGCCTCGGCCTGCGTGCCTCTGCACCGCTGTGCGTCCTGTGGACATCCCAGTCAGAACAGAGGCGCCAAGGGGCTTCTCTCAACTCCCCGAGCAGCCCCAGCCTGAGCGAAGCCTAGGAGGAGGGGCGAGCAGCCCCCTCACCTGGAAGGCCGTGGTCCCGGCTGCGTTGCATATTGAGAGCCGCCAGGTCCAGCCCGATTCTTCTCACTTGCCGAAACAGCCGGTCCCGGAGCTCATCCACTAGCATGGAATCTTGACGGTTCAGCTTGGCAGGGGTGGCCATGAGGCCTCGGAGGATGGGGTCGATGCCTCCTGGTGGGAGGGAATGTGAGCAGCACAGATTGGATCAGCCTCTGGGAAGTCCCGTTATGCCAAGCTAGCTGAGCGCTGGGCAAGCCAGTCGCTTAGATTCTACAGTGTTTGTCAGGAAACAGAGAACTGGGTGGACATGAAGGAGCTGGAGCTGGGAGGGAGAGGGTCACCCCACTTCCCAAAGAAAAAGTAGAAGGTGAGCAACTTTCAGGTTACAACCCACTAGTCTGACATTGGTCTCTGTCCCTTTTAGAAATCCTCTCATCCTGCTGGGGTTGGGGACCTGTGACTGAGGGTCTTGCTGACACCTGCCTGGTTACCACTGCCCCAGGGAGATATTAGCATGGCCCGAGCAGCAGCCTGGCCCTTTGGCAGTAAGCCTGGCCTACCTGGGGGAGGGTTGCTCCCCACCCACACCCGCATTTGCCTCTGGAAAACCTGGTCACCTTCATACACGATTCTCCAACTGGCAAAGAAGGCAGAGCTAAGTGGGACACGTGAGTTGGGTGCTGAGGCACGGTACTGGCTGTCCAAGCGGAACATGAAGGGCTGGAGAAGGGTGTGGCCAAAGCGGAAGGCCAGGGTGAAGACATTGGACACACGCGGG